GTTTTTGTTTTTTTGTTTTGGTTTGTCGAACCCCAATTGAGTCATTGACACACCTCAAAAATATGTCTTAACAACAGAAGCAACAATTTTAAATCGTAATCAAGGACGCCCCAGTTATGATTAGTGACCTTATTAAAGAAATATAATGAAAAAGACTGTCATGCTGGCAGTGAGCAGTTTTTCTGCAAGACTACAAGCTAATTTCATGTGTTGAGGTTTGTTAATATAAATGAAAAACACAAATTTGGATCATTGGTTAGCCTAGAACTCTTAACTCAAATGGTACTTAGTTATGACAGAAATTAGGAAGGTGGTACAACAATTGCTCAAAACTAATTTTAATGCACCGATGATTTCTAATTAACAAGTGTAATTCTAAAAGACACTAGGCACTAGTCGGGTAGTATGCTGAGGTCTAGCATCTCGGCCAATTTACATGAATATATAATATAAATAAGTGACTATTTATACTTTTTTTTTAGTATAATGATATATTTTACACTAGAGAGATACTGAGTGACAGTGCCTATTATACTTCAAAAAAAAAAAAAATACTTGTATTGGGAATAAACAAAGATAAAAAAATGGAATAAAAGCCAATGAGCTTAGTAAATATTAGACCTGGCATTCGTGTCGTGTTTCTCGTGTTTGTGTCGTTTTCGTGTCATACCCGATAGCTTAACGGGTCGTGTCGTGTAATACCTGTTAAAGTAAACAGGTAATATGACCCGACCCGAAATCAACCCGTTAATATTATCAGGTAATATGACCCAACCCGTTACCCGTTAAGAAAATTATATTTTAAATCAATAAAAATGAAAAGAAAAACATAATTTGACCCAAAAAAATGTAAACCATAATATTAAATTAGTATATACATACTAAATTTCGGAGTTGACCCCTTAATGAAAGTTGTAAAGCTTTTCATTACGAGTGATTACATTTTTCACACTTATTATTATTAATTTTTCACTCAAATAAATAACATTGTTCATGAGATTTGGAGGGTTTTAAAAATCTACACTTATTTATACTTTCATCAAGTATAACATAAGATTTTATGGTATCCACTAGTGTAAATATTTTAAATTGAAGATCGAATTCATTCATTGTATTCATATAGGGTCAATGAGTGTAGCTGTAAAAAATCATCAAAATCGGAGTTAAAATAACCGTTAAATCGTAATTTTTCGTTTATAACCGTCGAAAAGTTTTGTCTCATTACTTGATCTTTGAATGTTTGTTTTTTTTGCAATTTTTGGCGTATGCGATCTCGAAGCATATATTAACAAGTTTGACGGTTGGATCGTTGAAATTAGTTTCGTAGGATGCGTATCCCATCAAAACAATAGATTCACTAACACTAAAGAGTTTATTTATACTTTCATCAAGTATAACATAAGATTTTGTGGTATCCACTAATGTAAATATTTTAAATTGAAGATCGAATTCATTCATTGTATTCATTTAGGGTCAAGGAGTGTAGCTGTAAAAAATCATCAAAATCGGAGTTACAATAACCGTTAAATCGTGATTTTTCGTTTATAACCATGGAAAAATTTTGTTTCATTACTTGATCTCTGAATGTTTGTTTTTTGCAATTTTTGGCGTATGCGATCTCGAAGCATATATAAACAAATTTGACGGTTGGATCGTTGAAATTAGTTTCGTAGGATGCGTGTCACATCAAAACGATAAATTCACTAACACTTAAGAGTTTATTTATACTTTCATCAAGTATAACATAAGATTTTGTGGTATCCACTAGTGTAAATATTTTAAATTGAAGATCGAATTCATTCATTGTATTTGTTTAGGGTCAAGGAGTGTATCTGTAAAAAAACATCAAAATCGGAGTTAAAATAACCGTTAAATCGTGATTTTTCATGTATAACCGTCGAAAAGTTTTGTCTTATTACTTGATCTCTGAATGTTTTTTTTTTTGCAATTTTTGGCGTATGCGATCTTGAAGCATATATAAACAAGTTTGATGGTTAGATCGTTGAAATTAGTTTCGTAGGATGCGTATCCCATCAAAACGATAGATTCACTAACACTTAAGAGTTTATTTATACTTTCATCAAGTATAACATAAGATTTTGTGGTATCCACTAGTGTAAATATTTTAAATTGAAGATCGAATTCATTCATTGTATTCATTTAGGGTCAAGGAGTGTAGCTGTAAAAAATCATCAAAATCGGAGTTATAATAACCGTTCAACCGTGATTTTTCGTTTATAACCGTCGAAAAGTTTTGTCTCATTACTTGATCTTTGAATGTTTGTTTTTTGCAATTTTTGGCGTATGCGATCTCGAAGCATATATAAACAAGTTTGACGGTTGGATCGTTGAAATTAGTTTCGTAGGATGCGTATCACATCAAAACGATAGATTCACTAACACTTAAGAGTTTATTTATACTTTCATCAAGTATAACATAAGATTTTGTGGTATCCACTAGTGTAAATATTTTAAATTGAAGATCGAATTTATTCATTGTATTTATATAAGATCAAGGAGTGTAGCTGTAAAAAATCATCAAAATCAAAGTTAAAATAACCGTTAAATCGTGATTTTTCATTTATAACCGTCGAAAAGTTTTGTCTAGTTACTTGATCTCTAAATGTTTGTTTTTTGCAATTTTTTGTGTATGCAATCTCGAAATATGTATAAACAAGTTTGACGGTTGGATCATTGAAATTAGTTTCATAGGATGTGTATCCTATCAAAACGATACATTAACTAATACTTAAGAGCTTATTTATACTTTCATTAAGTATAACATAAGATTTGTGGTATCCACTAGTGTAAATATTTTAAATTGAAGATCAAATTCATTCATTGTATTCATATAAGGTCAAGGAGTGTAGCTGTACAAAATCATCAAAATCAGAGTTAAAATAACCGTTAAATCGTGATTTTTCGTTTCTAACCGTTGAAATGTTTTGTCTCATTACTTCATCTCTGAATGTTTGTTTTTTGCAATTTTTTGGAGTATGCGATCTCGAAGCATGTATAAACAAGTTTGACGGTTGGATTGTTGAAATTAGTTTTGTAGGATACGTATCCCGTCAAAACGATAAATTCACTAACACTTAAGAGTTTATTCATACTTTCATCATTTTGATGGGTTATGCATTGATGTTATACTTAATGAAAGTATAAATAAACTTTAAGCGTCAGTGAATCTTATCGTTTTGATGACTTGGAATAAATATATTAATTATTTATATATTTGAAGTGTTAATTAGACTATGTTTCAATTAGTATGTGATGATATTTAATAATAAAATTACATTTATGTTTTTTATTACGTATTTTATTTTTATTCAAGTTAAAATGTTATAAGAGATAAAAAAAAGAAAAAAAAAGATGGTTATTTTTTTTCTTTGGGTTAAACATTAGGCGGGAAATGGATGGATATAGGTTGCAAAATTTCCCAAACATTAGGTGGGAAATGGATGAAACTCTTGAAATATTAGGCGGGAAATTAATTATTATAATTTTTTTTTATGTTTTTGGTATTTTTAAATTACTTGATATTTTTATTTTTAATGTGTTTTATGATTTTTAATCTCAATCCTTGCCTATAATATACTATAAAAATAAATAAATAAATAAAACTTAAATTTTAAAATTTATATAGAATAATAATAGAATAATAATTAATAAACAATATATACATATTCATTATATCTATTGCATTTTATAGTAAGTTTTTTTTAGTAGTTTAAAAAATTAAAATCATCAAAATAGCATTTTTCTTATCGTGTCGAAACAGGTTACCCGCGTGTCACTTTCGTGTAAACCTGTTAAGGACCCGTTATTAACGGGTTATTATCGTGTGACCCGATAATGACCCGATTAGTTATCGTGTTGACCCGAAACCCGTTATTTTCGTGTCGTTTACGTGTCGTGTTAACGGGTCGTGTAATAAATTGCTAGGTCTAGTAAATATACAATTTAAAAGCCAAAAGCCAATAAGCTAAGTTAGCAAATTAACAAATTACAAATATAAGGAAGAGTTTCCACAACTACTTGTTCTAATTCAAAAGCCTCCTTATTTTGATTTAGTAAGCATTAATTATTTAATTAGAAAAAAACTTAATTAGTTAATGAAAAAAAACTTGAAACCGCCTAGTGTGTCAACTAGACTGCCTAGCGGCCGTCTAGACCTCCTGGATCGTCTAAGTTGCCGCCCAGTTCTTCCGATTTTAGTAACTATTTTTACAACTTTATTGTCCGTAAACAATACACCCGAATTTGAATTTTAGTATAAAAATAATTTGTACAAAATTATCACAGACTCTCACTATCAAATACCTAAGTGCCGACTAGGCCCATTTTTAAAACACTTTTAACAATTACCTCTTGACCTTCCGTCCCTTTGATGTTGTTATTAAACAGTTGACTAAGCCAATTCTTTTGGCGATAAAATTGGAAATGGAAATGGACCTTTTGACCACTGACCAACATGCTTGATTAAATATGAAATGGAGTGACAACTTTATTCTATAAAAAAATTGCAATTTAGTAAAATTTCCACAGATTAAATCTTTATTATTGCCCTATTTATTTATTCATTGTTGTGGTTGGATATTGGAATCTTTACCAATTTCTTAATTTTAAGTATGGGATATGACATTTGAAACAAACCACTACAAAGGCCAACTCAAATCATGGGCAGCTTCCCTTCTACAGTTGTATTAAACTATGCTAAATCTCTTTACATAAAATTATAATAAGTCTTGAGGAGAAAAAGAGAGAGAAAAGAAAGAAATACGCAGCTGTATGCACTATGAAACATGAAATCAAGGGACTATATTTTTGTTTCTCAATGCATAACTAAAATGTATATTTTTGTACGAGAACTTATATGTCACAAGTGATTTATTGTATATTTTTGTGTCTTTGTCTCATTTTTCACATAAAAAGTGATATATGTAACCCTGTAATAAGTAAATTCTTCTGCTTTGCTTGTCCTTCCTTTTATTCTTTTCCCTTTTTTATCTTAATTTTTTCTTTTTTGAGTTTCTTTGTGCCAAGAGGGTTGCCTAAAATAATGCTCAACTGTAGACTTTAGAAGGTCCAGAGTTTCTGTCTTGTATTGTGGAACTATAACCCTCCAAAGCATTTGCTAGCACAAGCAACCAAGCCACTCCCTGTCTTTCCTTCATCAACTAATTCAACCAACTAGGAATTTAAAAGAAACAAAAACTAAAAACAAAAATTGACAATTGTAATAGTAACATAACATCTTTTTTTATGATCAACAATTAAAATAACATCTTAAACAACTCATCCATTGGACACCTTCTTATTTGGTGCCCAACTAGCATGGACTTTCCATATGCATAGAATACATTCCACAAACAACAACCAGAACTCTTCCAAATCCCATATCTTCCTCTCCCCCATTTCTCCTCCATCAACCTCTCCAATACATCCCCAACGCCTGCCCTCTATTTCCTAGGAAAAACTCCAAAAACATCGCGACGAAACGAGTATGTTTTTGGAGAATTCAGACTCATACAGCAGGCTGTCATTTTGCAGAATATTCATTTGGTGATGTGATTTTGGTTTACCTTCTCAAAACCTAAGTCAAGATTACATATCTCTTGATTTCTTGGGCATATTCTGCAGACACCTAATACCTCTTTCATTTCACCGTGCAAATTGTTTATTGCCTTTTAAATTGTGGAGTTTTTATAGATTCTTTATTTGTTTATGAATTGTGGAAGCTTTGTATAATAGGAACTTTCATGGATGTGGAATACAGATGGATATATGCGATTTCAATCCAAGAAGAATTTAACAACAAAATCACAAGGAGACTTCCAGGGTTGCATTGATTGATGGAGTTCTTCAACTGGTACATAATCTGGCTGATGATCTTATTTTCTCTGTCATCGCCATCACCGTCATTCATGCAAGCCTCCAATCGCTATGATCCTTTGTCCTTGACAAATTTTCTCCATGATTATGCAAATGCAAGCCTAAGGAACCTGCACACTGGCACGCTGTACAATATTTCTCTCCCGGCTAATTTTTCTGGCATGGAAGCTTCATTTGTTAGGATCCTTAGTGCAAAGTTTTGGAGTAGAGGTGCAAATTTCAGTTCATTTTATATCCCACCAAAGGTTATACCATTACCTTCTGGCAGAAGGTTAGCTATAGTGTTTGAAAATTTAGGCAATTGGTCTTCACTTTACTACAAAGTATCAAATTACACATTGGTTGCTCCTGTTGTTGGATTCATGGCTTATGATTCTCCAAATGCAACTGTAATTGGCAACCAGAAGCTCACGTTCACTGCCGACGGTGACCCCATCACAATCCGGTTTCCTCACATTGATGCTGCGCAAGGGGAAAATATGACACGAAAATGTGTCCAATTTGGTGATTGGGGGACCTTTGAGATCACGAACATGACTAGTGAAAATGAGTGCATTACACGTGGTATAGGGCATTTTAGCATTGTTGTTGCATCCCCGCCAACACCAGCACCGGCGCCAGGGAAGAAAAAGAGGAACCGGAAATGGTTTGTGGTTGGAATTGTGTTTGGGTTAGCATTTTTAGGGTTGGTAATGATAGTCACATTCAAGTTACTGACGAAGAGGAAACTTAAATCTATGGAGAAGCAGTCCGAAAAAGATGTGGCGTTTGATACATTTTGGGTTGGGAGAAGTAAAATGCCTTCTGCATCCATGACTAGAACTCAACCCTACCTTGAACATGAATATGTTCCTTGACCCAAGTTTTATTTTTACTTCTTTTCCTTTGTGTGCTTCTTTCCTTTCCATACAAATTTGTAATAGCGAAGTTAAATTAATTTATGAACTTTAGAACGATGACAGAAACATTATTTCCAAGTTTGTAAGGTCGTACCAATGTGGCTGTTGCATCTTTATTCTTATTTCTCTTATCACATGACTAACAAGTGAGAGGCAACATGGTTTACTTCGCTCCCAAATATATATGGGCTTCTGCAAAATTTGGTAAGTACTTTTTTAAGTTCAATTGAATCCAAAAATTTCACGCATGTATGCTTTATTACTTGGCTGGGTTTCAGAGAAGGGACGGCACCTGGCTTTTGTACCTATAACATTCATCAGATAAAATGTAGAAGCCAAATTTAAAGGCAGAATATAATTTGTAGTTTGCAGTGTTTGAAATTGTAAAAGAGCTACATTCTACATAAACCACCAACCCGATCAACCACCATCGAATAATTTTCGTTGTTTAATGAGAAAATGACCTGGTTTAGCATATAGCTTTATGGCCTATTGTATTCATGACCAGTGAATAGTGAATCCAAAAACCAAGATTCCAGACGGCGTTTTCAAGAATAACCTCATTGTCAACCCGCAAAACGCTGGGTCGGCACCTTAATTATACTTTCTTTACATTAGATTTCCATGCATGTGCCAGTGAATAGGCACATGTTCATTGTTTAGGTATGTAGGAGAAACGATGCAGACGTGGGTTAAGTTTAGTTGCGTGTGGCAATATGTCCGTCCTTTTGCGCTCAAGTTTGCATTTTCTTTCTCATCAATTATAGTAGCTTGGAAAAATATATAATAATAATATAAAAATTATAGAAAAAAAAAAAGACAATTTTGGTTTTATAGTTGTTTTTTTTTTTTTTAAGAAACGATATTGTCTACACTATATGGGTGGGGAGTGAGCTGATGAGTCCATATTATACCATATACTTTACCCTAATTTTAGTATTAATTTATGGGTTATTTTGGTAGAATTTTGATACTTTGTTATGCATTTTCAAGGTAGGACATTCGATTTCCTCTGGAGAAAAAATAATCAAACAGATGAATTTTAGAGTGATTTCAATTGGAGGATGTTCATGAGTCTTTCAAGATAATTCTATCAAAATTTCAGATTTTTCTACCAAGTCATTTGACTGTGGCGATGAAATAAAGGCCCAACGTGCAGCTTTCCCAGTTTGACATTTCTAAATGTTTTGGACATTTTGAAGACGAAGATGGCATATTTGGAGGAAGATTCATTCTGAGGATTTGTAGGGAACGCCTCAATCTTTAAAAAGAGACATTTTGAGACCAAATTGGAGTTGATTTGGTCGGTCAAAAGTTTGATTTTTCGAGAAGTTCGAATTTCAATTTAAATAGAAAACCTTTTATTTCCTAGTTATCTTATTCTATTATATTTCCTAGTTTTTAGAAGATTTTTTCTAGTAAGGATTTTATGTTGCAGTAGTATCAATAAGGCGTATTAGCCATTAGGGTTGAGAGGGGAGAAAGCATCAATACTTTGCTAGGCTTGGAGAGCTTTTGATGACTCAAGTTTATTTTCAAGATATTTTCTATTCATGTTTTTAATAACATTTTATTTTATGATTTTTAGTAACTAATTATGTTTGTTAGGGCGAGGTCACGAGCCTTAGCAAGAATATGTAGTTTCTTTTCAATTTGCTTATGATACTATGCATGCAAGTTTTGAATTATTAATCACCAGTTTAAACTATCTAATTGTCTTGATGATTGGCCACCATTAGGATTTTTTTTTTTGAGTATATCGATATTTTTACACTAAGGGGAGGGGAGTTCGGCTAAACCACACAATAAACAGCCTAATTTGGTATCAAATTCGCCATCCACGAGATTTGAACCCAAGACCTCTCACTTCCAAGTGAAAAAGAATACTACCAGACTATAGTACTGAGTGGCAGGATATTTGGAAAAGTAATTTGATGCTAGGAATACATAAATCATTCCTTCAAAACCTTTTATCATAAAACAGGGCTTATGCATCGTGTCTTTCCTTCACACCCTCGAACAAAATGGTCTAGTTGAGCAAAAACAGTGTCATATTTCCACCGTCACTCACCCATTCTTAAATATTGATCATGCCTTGTCCTCCCTTTGGGTGGAAACTGCCTTCACTACCACATTTATCATCAATCTTCTCCTGTCTGTTGTCATTGGTTAGTCTAGTCCTTATGTCGGTCTTTTTGGTCGTCACCCAAATATGTCCTCTCTGCGTACATTTGGTTGTCCATGTTACCCACACCTAAACTACTAACAAATTGGAATCTTGTTCCAAACAATATGTTTTTGTAGGTTACAACTTGCAATTTAAAGGCAATCAGATTCATATATCTCAATATCTTACCTATGACGAAATTGATTTTCCTCTTGGTTGTATTGCTGCCCTTGCAGCACCATCTACTATGCCTCTTCTTCTGGAACCAAGTCAAGCCTTATCTCAGCAGGCCCTTGCACGATAACCCATATTGTCTCATTCTCTTCTTGCAGCTCCTGCTCACCTGGGCCCAACCCATTCTACCACGTCTTTTGCTCTTGGACCCACACTGCAGTCCACCGCTCTAGGTTTTGTAGCCCATCATGAAAACCACCCTCACGTGCTCTTATAACCCAGCTCGTTCCTGGCTAATGTGCCTCCATCTGGGTCTATTATCTCTAATGTCTCTCAAGCCCCTGCCATACAACCTGCTTGTCCTGCTTCTTCTAATGGGTCGTCTTCACCTATCCAACCATTATGGTCCGTGTCTGTGCAGTCTCATCCGGCCTTACCTCAGTCTCTTCATCCCATGCAGATCGGTCCCGTACTAGTCATTCCGCACCCAAACAATACACCGATGGCACGGTTCATTATCATCTTCCTCATGCCCTCACTGCTTTTCTTGAAAATGGTACATTGTTTCTTGTTCCATCTCATCCCACTCAAAATTTAGTTGGTTGCAAATGAGTAATACAGATGGTTCAATTGAGCATTATAAGGCTTGCTTGGTTGCTAAAGGTTTTCATCAACAATATGGGTTTGATTATGATGAGACGCTCAATCCGGTTGTTAAGCCTGCCACTATTCACCTTGTTCTCAGTTTAGCAATCACTCATGGATGATCCATTCATCAGCTTGATGTAAAAAATGGCTTCCTCCGTGGGTATTTACAGGAAGATGTCGTTATACTCCAACCACCTAACTTTGTCAATCCTCAGCGCCCTCACCATGTCTGTAAGTTACATAAGGCATTTTATGGTCTCAAACAAGCTCCCCGAGCTTGGTTTCAACGGTTCAACACTCTTCTTCTCCGTCATGGCTTTGTGCAAAGCCTAGCCGATCCCTCATTGTTCACATTCCATCATGGTGAAACTCATCTTATCTTATTACTTTACGTGGATGATATTGTATTAACTGGGAATAATTATGTGGCCCTTCGGAAGACCTCGGTCATCTTCGTTATTTTCTGGGTCTTGAGGTTGGTCCTGCTTCAGATGGCCTTCATCTTTCTCAAACTAAATATACTCTTGACTTACTTAAAAGGACAAATATGGGTGATTGAAAGCTATGTAACACCCTCGTAACCTTTCATGCTTAGTTGTCCAATCAAGATGATACCCTGTTCTCTGGTCCATCTGACTTCCATCACTTATCAGGCTCCCTATAATATCTCACTTTAACTCGACCGGACATTGCCTATGCAATGAATCATATTTCTCAGTTCATGTCTCGTCCTACTCATACCATCTTATTTTTGCTAAGCGTATTCTGAAGTATGTCAATGGTTCCATTGAACATGGGATTTCCTTTCGGTGCTCGTCTATTTCTCCTCTCCTTCATGGTTATTCCAATTTTGGTTGGGCTGGTTGTCCGAACACAACCCACACCAGATCGGGATTCTTGATTTTTCATGGCCCTAATTTGATATCTTGGAGCTCCACCAAGCAACCGACTGTTTCTCACTCCAGTGCAAAATCCGGATACAGGGCCTTGGCTCATGCTTGTGCCAAGTCCATTTGGCTTTCTTGTGTTCTCCGTGAACTTTGGTAATCCGGTTGTCTCTCCCACTTTACTATTTTGTGATAACTTGAGTACTACTTATATGGTGGCTAATCATATTTTTCATGCCCGCCCTAAGCACATTGAGCTTGATTATCATTTCGTTTGTGAACAGGTGAAGCTTGGTTCATACAAGGTATAGTTTATTCCATCCACTAATCAACCAACATATGTTTTCACCAATTCCGTCTCCGAAGTTCAACCTACTCTAGTCAAACTTGTCGCTCAACGACAGCCAAGTTTGAGGGGGGCTGTTAGTATAGGAGAATCAAGTCATTTGACTTGTATATATTTGTACCTTGTGTTATCAATCAAATCAATAAAGTTATAGTTCTTAGGTTTAAGGCGAGCCTTGTGTTATCAATCAAATCAATAAAGTTATAGTTCTACAGTTTAACTCTCGGGTTCTGAAGTCGCCTTAAACCTAAAATGAATAAAACACACTATGGAATCCCATAATATAGGGTGAAGTGCCGATTTAGTCATTGAACTATCATCTCAGTGAAAATTAGGTCCATGAATTATTTTTTTGGTAAAATAAGTCCTTAAATTCATTAAAAATTGCTAAATTCATCCCTACTATTGTATCTAAAGCTATTTTATCCAATTTTTCGTCAACTTAAGTCACTTGACACACGTTAGAGTGTAATATTGTTCTTTTCTCGCCTATAAGCCTTTAACATTTCATATAGGTTGCGAATCTAACATTTCATTTACTCTCTAAAGTTAACTCCATACACTATTTCTTTATGTAAAATTACCAATCTACCCTCCAATGTGTATCACATGTAAGTAACGTGACTTAAATTGACAGAAAATTGAATATCATAGCTTCGAATATAATATTGGGGATGTAATTGGCAGTTTTTTATAATTCAAGGACATATTTTTTTGAATAAAAAAAAATAGTTTAGGGACCTAATTTTCACTCAGTTGATAATTTAGGGACTAAATTGGCAAAAGCTTATGAACCAAATACTTTGGAAAACAAAGTTATTACATTCTTGCAGAATGAGATTTGTAGGTAGAGAACACAACCTTTAAAATCCAATCCAATCCAATCTTTGAAAGAAAAAGGATTTCTCAGGCGATACTGTGGAGGTCACAGAACTGCTCAAAGGGAAAGGGAGGGTCTGAGAAAGTGCCGTTGAGGATAGCCAATGTTGTTAGCTTGTTTGCTGCTTCTGTGGCATGGACTCCATCCCAGCTCACATAGTTGTAAGGGTCACTACAAGCAGTTGCAGTCACAGGTCTCCCATTGATCACCTTTGTATTTCCACAAAAAACTTGAGGGTCAAAATTATGGGCACCACCACCATGCCCACAACATGATTTTGTACCATACTTCAAGCCTGTTTCAAAACAAAATAAAACTAGACTTACAACATAAAAATTTACTTGATGACATGAAAATTTCTTGTTGGGCACATTATTTGACATAATATGTTACCAAGAACTGTTCTCTTGTTGGATTGTGTGACAATTAGTAAATTGACTTGTTTTTTAGTGTGTGATCCAGATTTACAGTCTAACAATACAAGTATTTGTTCCTCAATTTAAGTATGGCGAAAAAATAAAATAAAATAAAAACATTTCTCTAATGATATAAAACCTAATTAAATAGTAAAAACCTTGGTGTCAAGAGCTATACCATGAGATGTGGGATGCCTAAAGAGCTCAAGCAAAACAGAGGAGGTATCCACATATATTAGGGAACCATTTGGGAGGGAGCCTCTAGTTTGGTTAAGTGCCTCCTTCAACAACTTGTTGTAGTCCACAACTGCGTTGTTGTAAGCAATTGAGCATCCAAATGCGTCGAGTTCAGAAGGAGGAAGCCCCGCCAACAATGATGGATAACAACCCACTGGTGCCAGATTAAGTACCAGAAATGCACGCCCTCCTAATGCATATAGCTCCTATAAGTTTTGAAAACCAATATAAGCGAAGTGTAAATGTCGTATAGTTTGTTATTATTGTAATGGTAAAGTACTGTTTTCTTGCCAGAAAAATATTTATGCTGACCAAATTGTGAATTTGATTCATATATTTTAACGAAAATTCAATTTCAGTCTTTATAAAAATTATTGTTATATTATTAGACAATCTAAATATTCTCTAAAGTAGAAAAACTTTTCTACACCCGTTGCATGAAACAACGTATCTCACATTTATTATATCATGCGAGGAACACGTGACCATAAATGTGAGAAACCGTTTTATGCAAAAGTATACCTTTTCTCCTTTGATGATCAAGCCTAAAACTCATCTGCTCAACAGAAGGTATATATGGAATTAAGTACTGACTCACCTTGATGGTACCAGCAATTTGAGAGACCACTTGAGGAAGATATTGCTTCACACCACCTACACCAATGGCTGCCAAATTGGAGGTGAAATCGTTTTGGCCAATGTAGAATGTGTAGAGTGATTTCCCAAAAATATCCAGGGAGGGAAGTCTCTTCAGTTCTAAGCAACAACAATCGCCGTCATCAGAACTAACAAAAACTCGCATACATATGTAAATCAAGACAGTTAGTCAAGATTGTGTACCAATTCGTATATGTTTACCTTGTTGATTCGAGGAGTGGTGAAACTCTTCAACTTGGGTCTTGAATGCCTTCATTTGGTTGAGCTGGATGGCCAGAGAGAATGGGCTGATTCCAGTGACAAACAAGGAAGTGTTTGGCAAAAGCACAGTGGATGCTAGTGTTGCATAGTTTGCCCCATGTTTATAATCAGATCCAATTGATTTCAGGTATGGACTTATAAATGGTAACCCTAGAGCTTGAGCTGCCAAGTTCAATACCAAAAAGCATAAAATCAGGACATATATCTGCTGTTATGTACTTTTGCTTTGACACTAATACACATCTTCGTGCTATCAATATCACGTGACGTAAACACAGTGTGCTCTAACAAATATTGCATTGCTCTAAAAGTTCCACACAACGTACAATTGGTTTAGCTTAGCTCGGAGACATGCATATGTAAGTTAAGTCAATTGATCAGGGCAATGTGTCATCTATATGCTCTCAATTAAAATCTCCTTCTATCATCCAAAAAGATAGGTATAACTTCACCTATGATGGCTTAGATATTTTCTATATCATTAGTGATATAATTAGTGATGTAAAGGAAAAGAACAATAAATGTCTACTGATTAGTCAAAACTTTGTCTAGCTGTGGAGTCTTTGTCTTGTGGTATAAAAGGGCCTAATAAAACAATCCAACTGACCTGTCAAATGTAGGGCCTCCTATATCCTACAGGATTAGGAAAATATCAAGCCAAATGACAAAATTGCTGAACGAATACAAGCACTAAACAGGCTTGAACTATGACCTCCTAATCAACTAAGTCCCCGTTTGGCTGATAAAGTAGTGCAAGAACACCAGACCGAGGGTTGTGTGAGTTACCTAGAAAATCAACAATGAGCCTCCCATCTGTAGCCCGACCAACAGGTCTCTTGAAGTATGTCATGCCATTGGGTCCAGATTGCGCCGGAAAAGCTGCCCAAAATCCCCCTGTATCTGAGTTCGAATCTCCAAAATTGAAAATTCCCTCGAATTCACATTTAGAGTGACCTAAACAACTCAAAGTTGCCACCACTGTCATCCATACGATTAAAATCTTGTGGAGCACACAAATTTTTGGTACACACGGGCTCATTTTCTCAGTAGCAGATAGAATTGACTGGTATATAATACCAAGCCTTCTCCAGTATATATATATACACATATATATAAGGTGAGGCACATAATTACACACAGGCCCATTTTTTCAGACGCGTGAAACTTTAGCTCCACCATGTGTCGGTCATGCTATGAATTGTCCCACATAGGTTGTTGCCCACAATTGATGTATACGTTGATTGACAATTATTTTCAATTCCTAAAATACTTTTGTGGAGCCAAAAATAGTCACAAGGCAACATATGGATTTTTGAACAAAAGATGACAAAATTACCCTTGAGGCATAACGGGATTCCTACACGCAAGCAGCGGGCATTCATTCCTCAACAAAGTCGAAAATGCCCAAAATAGATAACAATTTGAACCTATTTTATCAAATCCCATTTACAAGGTAATTCCCAAAACCTATCTCATTCCATATATTTTCTACTGCATTATTTAGCTAATCAATTAGTTAAATAATTTATTCATTCCATAATTCCTAAAACATTCCTTCTAAAAACATAATAATTGACTAATTAATGGGTTAATTGCCTAATTAATCCATTAAATGTCAATTAAGTCACCCAATTAACCACAAAATATACCCCAAATTCCCAAAAGGCCGGGCACCCTGGTTGATCTCATCATATTTACCTATTTCATCATACTAATTAGCTAGTTAATTTGGCAATAATTCTATTTGCTAAATTAACTAGTCAATTATTCCCGTAACTGCTAAATTCAACCTAAATCAAGAATCTAGCCCACAAAATGAGCTAGGTGGCTGGTCCTCTCTCACCCAAAGAGGCCGGCCATTCTCCTATAAAAAGGTTCATATTTTCTCCAAAATACACTTCCAATTCTCTTGTGAAAACTCTCTAAAATTCTCAAACACTTTCTCTCTAAATTCTAACTTTGGCATCGGAGGTTCTTCGGCCAAAGCGTCCCCCCCCCCCCCCCCCCACCAAATTCATCGTGGGCGCGTGAGGTTCTTGGCCTTGACCAAAGGTGTTAATTGTTTTGTAGGTGCAATTTTGTCTAAGATCAAGGAGGAAGAAATTTGCATCCACAACTTTCAAGTTCGAATATCCTACCTCTGTCAAAAGAAAATACATGCCGTGAATTCTTCCTATAATTTATGGCATAGTTGTTCTAGATATATTTCAAATCTTGAAGACTGACTTGTTTGATTGAGAATTTTTTGTATAGAAAACTAGAGAGTAAATTGTAGCAATGGTCCCTCAACTTTAATCAAATTGGAGCAATGGTCCCTCAACTAAAAATACATTACCATTGGTCCCTCAACTTATCAAAATGTGTACCTATAGTCGTTTTCATTAATTTTGTCAAAATTTTGTCAAAATAAGTTATGTTAGGATAACCATTTATATAATAAGGGTCCCTCAATTCATCAAAGTGTGTAATTAGGGTCATTTTCGTCAACTACGTCAAAATTTTTGTCAAAACGAGTTATGTTGGAAGGACCATTGCTACAATTGGGTTAAAGTTACGAGACCATTCTCCAGTTGAATTAAAATTGAGGGATCAGTGGTAATGGATTTTTAGTTGAGGGACCATGGCTGCACATTTTGATGAGTTGAGGGACTAATGGTAATGTATTTTTAGTTGAGGGATCATTGCTCCAATTGAGTTAAAGTTAAGACACCATAGCTACAATTTACTCAAAACTAGATTTTAATCCTTAAATAAGATAAAGTTTAGAAAAATGTCTTATACAAGATTAAAAATTGATTTTAGTTCCTAGACTCTGTTTAACGCCAACATATTAAATGTCTCACTTTTTTATTTATAATTTTATGGTGTTCATAAATTAAATTTTATGAAAATATTATAAATTTTAATTCTCATTATGGTAAGTATCTTATATAAGAAAATATTTTCGTAAAGATTTTTTGGTACACATGTTTTTTCATATTTTCTTATGTGCCACTAATTCATTACAATATATTTAGGTATGACCATTTAGGTATACTAGGTTAGTATAATATGTTTAGGTACGGACATTTGGTACACTAGTTTATTATAATATATTTAGGTATCGACATTTTGGTACACTAGTTTAGTATCATATATTTAGGTACGGAATTGTTCAGTACACTTATGTTTTTGCATATTTTCTTATGTGTCACTAATTCACTATAATATATTTAGGTACAGACATTTTGGTACACTAATTTAGTAAAATATATTATGATACGGACGTTTAAGTACACTAATCAGAGGAAGTAAAATAAATATAATGAATTAAAATGTGTATAATAATAAATAATTTTAATGTAATGACATTAAATAAGATATCTATTAAATATTAAAACCAAAATATAATATAATATGAATTAAGTACACATTAGAGGTGTAAAATCAATATACAAGCTAACACCAGGTTTTTATTGAATTTTAATCTTCTTCAAGGATTAAAGTTCAAAAACCCCTTTCATAATAGTTTGATGTTTATACAGCTACATATATATATATATATATATATATATATATGGGTAATGCTAGGGAGACTAAATTTTGTAAAGTAAATGATGTGGTTGTTAACGATTAGATTATTACTTAAATGTTGATTAACGTGCTTATTTCCTATTGGTAACACATCATTTAGTTTGCAAATTTAATTTAAAAGTTTAATCTCCCTAACATTACCCTGTATATTTTGATGTCAATTATTTTTGTTTAGTTTTGAAGTCTAATCACTTTTAAGAGACAAGGAATAATAGCCCCCCAATGTCAATGGAGTGTTTAAAGTGATTGGTTAAAATGTTAAATCTTTCATTACTCTGATGTAAACATTTGATCTGAATTGGAGGACGATGAGCATTGAAGATGTAGCAAACACCCAGATCAGAGAATTCCAAGAAATGGCTAAGCTTCATAGTTGTTTAGCCTACTGATTATGATTTCCCACTCTTGTTGGAGATGGGTTTTGAGCACTTTCCCGCTAAATGAGACTCCCTTGAACCATGATTGGCGATGAAAGACTTCCTTTCTTTGCAACCAATACAGAGTCATAGTGTCATCATTCGTCCACTATATGCTTGTCACACATTCAAAAAGTTACTTGTCCAATAAACGTTTTCTATGTGGTGAATTGGTAACAAGATAATATTTCTCCTTATAAATGATTTTGTTTGCTTTTCTTTCTCTTTTTTACTTCGAAAATAGTTGGTTCAACTTCATGACATCCTCAATGCACAGCAGTTGGCACTCTTTATCACCATCAATTAGACATGATATTTGTGTTGTGTTTTTCGTGTTCGTATCATTTACGTGTCATACCTGATATCTTAATGGGTCGTATTATATAACACCCGTTAAAATGAACAGGTAATATGACCTAACCCAAACTCGATCCGTTAATATTAACGGGTAATATAATCAACCCGTTACCCATTAAAGTAAATATATTTTAAACCAATAAATAATCAAATGAAAATATAAAACTAGTTTGGTATATACATATCACATTGTCACATAAATATTACTCCAATACATAAAAATACATTTGTCTTTCAAGTATTACGTATCTTAAATAAGAGCGTAACGAAAAAAACATTAGTACCTTACTACAAAATATCAAATATTCAACGATATGCAAAAAAAAAATGTTATAATAATAGATAGAATCCAACGGTAAGGATTTAAGAAGATTAGTTTTTTTTTTAATTAATGTACAAGTGTGAAAATATAAAATATATATATATATATATAAATGCTCGTAATGACTGATGAGTTGATTTTATATTACATATTTTACTCTAATCTTAGTAAATTTTGGTTATGATTTTGGTAGATTTTGATACTTTGCATTATATAGGACATTTGACTTCCTCTAGAGCAAAACATGATCAAGCAAACAAATTTTGGAATGATTCAAATTAGAGGACGTTCGTGAGTCCATTAGTTTGACCATGTTGAAGTTTCAAATTTTTCTACCAAACAGTTATTTTCTAGCGAGTAAATAAAGGAGTAGTGCGTGATGCTGTGACTTTTTTTTCGTTAATTACGTTTTTTGGAGTCCAAGATGGCCTCTTTTGGGTTCATGCCATTTTGGAGAAGTGTTTAAAATGTTTCAAGCTTTAAATCTAGCTATGTTGGGCTGGTTTTTGGAAAATATTTGGGTCCAAAACATGGGTTATCAGATTATGGGTAGATTTTCCTCATCACCTTTTTTTTTTTTTTTTGAGAAATTTCCTCATCACTGTAGAATTATGTTTCCTAGTTTATTCTAAGATATTTTCTAGGAAGGATTTGATATTCTATGTAGTATAAATAAGCCATCGTGGCCGGCTCTATTCTTCTTCTCTATGCAATTTTTGATAGAGGAATTTGGCCAAAGCTTAGAGATTTCAAACTTTTACATTCAAGGTGTTTCTGTGACAACCCGTCCCAAATTTTACGTTTTTATTAGTTTTAGAAGCGTGAATTTATGAAAATGCCCTAGAGGCATGGACTTTGACTTCCGTTGATCATCGGTTAGAGTGACATATGACTTATTCTTTTAGCATATCCTCGTAGTACTTGCCACTACGAACGCATAGGCTAAAGCCGTTTGCGAGTCCAAATTATAACGGTATAATTATGGACGTTTGAAGTTGGTTATTTAAAGGTAATTAAGTTATTTGAACTCCCACTTTGTGGGAAGACTAACTAATCAGCCTTAAGTAAAGAGAAAAAGGGACCAATCAAATAAAAGGGATGGAGGACCAATAAGAAATCAGAAAGAAAGAAGAAAAGAAAGGAAAAAAAAAAAGCTCCCAACTTTCCCGTGGGTTTTTCCACTCGCGACCACCCATTTTCCAAGGCCGATTCCGGCCAACTCAGGTGGAGTTTTTCTACGCCACCATCACCATCTTGAAGCTCTCATTACCCTCTACAAAACCCACCCAATAACCACCTTGATTAACCACGGTATGTGCCGGTTTGAGGCCACGAAAGTAGACGGTTCGCACGATGCTCCGACCACCCTTTTTCATTTTCTGGAAAATCGGCAAAGCGATGGCCAATGCCACCACTTGGACTTTGTAGCCCATCCTTCCAGGAGCAAAACCCAACCAACCTTGACCTCGTTGGACCAC